CCCCCCCCCCAACCCCACCCCTACGCAAAGCAGCCTCATTCCTACTGATTAGGAAGTAAATCAGGCTTTGTAAATGGGTTCTGTTCTGAGGCCTTAACACAGCAGGAGATGACCAGAGAGCCAGCAGTACATCAGTCTAATCAGTTTTTACTGTTCCAGTCAAATATCACCAGATGGCTGTCGCGGCTTTGATTCTGTTTTCGCCTCTCGATGGGAAATCACCACCAGCTGCACCTCAAACACTGGTCAGTTTTGAAAGGTACTCTTTCTAAACGGACAGCCAACAACTCTCATTCAAAGACACGTAAAATCATGAAATGCTCACTTGTTTTATTACTTCCTCGAAAAAAAAAGTGGCGCTTTTGTTGGATTTTAAAAGGTTTCTCAGAGGCTGAACTTAAAGCAAAGATGGGATCTCATTTGTCGAGAGAAGCCGCTAATTCACTCACAGACCCACTTATTCACATTTGATAGACAGCTGACTCTCCACAAGGGGCGTGCTGCTGATGCATTATCAGACCACTTCAATGCATGACAACCTGCGCCACCTACAGGCAAGAAAAGTAACGGCAGCAGTTTTGACTTGTAGATGTGTTGATGTACCCACCTGCAGGCAGTGAGTGCTACTGCTTCACTTTTATGTCTTCATAGTTGCTGTTTTCTTTGTGTGACGTTGTCTGAAAGCTTTTTTTCATTACCCCTGAGCTTCCTCCGGCACTTGTAGATCATTTTGATAGGCCAGCTTGCTTGTTTTGAGCCTTTAAAATGATAACTACAAAACCTCAAACACTCAGATAGAGCCGTGACAAAAGGAAAGAAAATTGCAGTTGTAACAGCTATTGCCTATAGGTGGCACTAGTGTCAAAACAACAGCAACAGATATTACTCTCCTGAGCTAAAGGTGGCACTGGTTGGCTTCTGCTGGCTCTATACCTGGACACAGTTTGAACTTGATCAAGGCTAAGCAGCCAAGCAAGACTAGACTGCGTGGTTTTCTCTTCATAACCTCTGCATTTTCTCACTGGGTGTCTGATGCTACTCACAAACCGCAGTTCTTTGGCTCCGACCACCTACGTGTAACTCAACCCATGAAATAGTTTATATGTCTGAGAAACATTTGCAGAAGTCATTTTACAGATATAGAGGAGGTGATGCTAGCAACATATATTGTTTATGTGGGGAAGAGCTAGTTGTTTTGCAGATGTTGCTTCAGTCCAGCAGACTTTACAATGTGAATGGCATTCATGCAGTTTTGATGCAGTCTGATTTCAAGACTTCTCCTAACTGCTGCTCTTAAAATTGTCTCTACAGTAATGGTTATATGTTATGCTAATGTATCTGTTTATAGGCCATAACTAGGACAAAAAGATATCAGTGAAAGCAGCTGTGAATTTAATAAATCACAATGTAAAAGGATATTTTTACTCGGTCAGTTTGGTGACATACAGAAAGCCTGGCATGCCTCTCTCTCTCTCTCTCTCTGTCTGTCTGTCTTCATGAGTAGCAGATGTCACAGTTGCTGGTAATGGCTGGCAATCAAATAGAGACATGCTGTGGCTGAAAGCATTAGTTTTTTTGGGGGGGGAGGATTGCTGGAGAAAGCAGAGCTCAATCAATACTGATCTAAAGGATCAACATTGGTTTTTTAGAGTTGACCCTGTGACCTTTTGGCCCCTGAGGCAACATTCAAGCACCTGCCCCCTTCAATGGATCCATGTTTATTGTATATATCCATGGACCGGCTTTGTGAGATATTTGCATTTGAATAGTGGAGGTACTGCAGCTCTCGTGCTCTCACTTCAGGGAAGGTTTTTAATTGCGTGGTAGTGACAATTAGGAGACGTTATGAGAACACTGTATACCTCCAAACACTCATTGTGGTTGAAGGGACATCCCTCTAACTACAATCGAGCCTCGTTTCTACCTCAAGAACTAATAAAGCAGATTGCTTTGCTTCAGACTGTTGAAGGTTGTGTTCAAGCAGGAAAACCTCATCAAAAATGTTGCTGATGCAGGTTCATAAAGACTTTGAGTATGAAAGAGATTGTAAGGACCACAGACAATCAGATATCACCTTTGTTTATGCAAGGGGAACCTGGGATCATTGAGGGTTCTGTTCAAGCTTCAATGTCTTCACTAAGAGCTCCCCTCAGTGGAAGGTTTTTGTTATGACGCACAATCAGTTCAGATTCCCTAAATGGAGACGCAAACAGGTCTGAGCTAAGACTGCAAACATTCAGTGTCCTTCAATCTGAGCATTTACTGCAAACGAATGAACTTTCAGTGTTCATTTCCCCCCAGTGTTTCCAGAGGGTGTTCCTTGATCCTCCACTGAACCCAGACTTAATCGCTGTTCGATGCATTCACTTCCAGGATTAATTTACTTATTAAAAACAGTAAACAATAAATATTCAAACTTGCCTTGCTTGTTTCTCTGTAGCTGTGGTCAGGCAGGTTCCTCTTTATTGAAAGAAACATTGGAGCAATGGTAGCGGTGAAAACTGCATCAGTCTTAACTCTGCATGAAACCAGAGGTTGTTTTGAGTTTCTAGCAGGTTTTTGGTTCAGACAGGTTCTTTTTCTGAATGCTACCAGCTGCTTTTTATGTGTCTGTTTGTTTTCATCGTGAGATAGACGATGCTCACTCAAGACTTTGTGTCTGCAGTTATCTTTGCTTTTTTTTCTGTCAAAGTTATATTAATGTTGTGTGGTAATGCAGTTTTAAATCTTGGGTTGATTTCTAAAGTATGCTTGTTTGGTGCATTTATGTGCTGTTGTACAGATCAGAAAACAATGACTCTGCTCGACTCATTTTCATCACATTCTTAATGCATTTTGTTTGTTTCGGAGTTTGATTTCCTGACAAGGAAGGAAGTAAATGTAGTGATTTTCAGGGGCTGACTCTCAATCAGCACAAACCCTCGGAGTCTCTTGTGGTCGGCTTGCTTGCTCTGTGCTATAACATTCAAATGTTTACCTTGAAATATTGCTGCTTTCACTCCCACCACAGCCGTAGCTAAAGAACCACTTGAAACCTTATCCAGAGTGTCTTTCTTGGAAAATTGACTCCGACTCCTGTTTCCATGTTACTAACATGGAAATTCTTTACCATTTACGGATTAAGGTGCATGTGGGGTTTAGGGGCTTTTGACGGAACTTCACCACAGACTTTCCCTCCATCAGGGGGACTGTGGACAAGGAAAATGAGAATTAACAAGATGCCTTCTGCTGTGACAATTGTTGTATGAATTAACCTGTATTACAAAGATTCATTAAATATAATATTTCTGAAATATGGCTGTTTAGGGCTATGAATTATATCATGTTCATATTGTTTATTTGCTTTTTTTTTTTTTTTTTTTTTAAATATGCTGTAGCACCACCGGCACACTGAGATTACATTAAGAGCAGATTCATTAATATAGCGATGATAATGATTATTTTACAGATGCATGTGAAGTGCGTGTTGGCTTTGCGTGTCTTCAAGTTAACTTCAGAACTGAAACAAGGCTCTTGTCTCTTACAAGTTCTCAGGAAAATCTACCTCTACCTCCAGTTTGATGTATTTAACCCAGTTACAGTTACAGTTTAGTGGGTACACAAAGAGGGAGTGGGAGTTGGCACCAGGGTCTGAAATTTACTCCAACATACCAGTATTGGTTAGTGCTTAAGATTAGTTACAATCATGTGAGCTTGTATTGAATTGAAAGTATGGTGGTGTATTCATATCATTATCTCAACTGGAAACAAATAAAAATACTCTCTGCATGTATATTTATCACCCTGGTAAGTGACGGAGAGGTTTATTTTGGACTCTGGGGTGTCTTTCTCCCTCTCTCTGTGTTACAGGTTAGTTTGAGCATCAACAACAGGGAACCTCCAGCTCAACAGCTACTACTTAGTACTACAACAAGTGCTGCTTCTAGCACCACTGTTAGTACTATGAGTGGCTTTTCAGTCTTTTTTTTTATTATTAATGTGTGCTTATTCCTCCTTTTTCTATCAATAATTGATTTTTTTTAATGAATGGGATGTCTACCAGTAACCACAGTAACAGTGAAGTGGCAGCGGGAAATGCATCTGTTTTTGTTTTCTTTGTTTTTGAAGGGTGAAGAGCTATTCTTGTCTATTTACTCAATATGTGTTTGTGTGAATACTTTTATTTTGAATCTGAAATTAATAAAATTTCACCTTTCTTAAATGTTACCAGAGTTTTGGATGTTTTTTTTATGTATCCTAAGATAAGTTATATGAAATATGTTCCATCCTTTTTAATGGGATAGCTCAGTCTTTATTTAAAATGTGTTCATTATATTGATGCTGGCCCCAAAAAGTGCTTAAAGCTCAACATCAGCCTTTTTACTGATTATTTTAGTTAACAGGCTTAAAACTTGTAGCAGTTTCTTCTGCATAATGAGGGAGTCAATTTTACGGGGAATCCAGAAGTTACCTTTATTAACTTATTATTTTAATTGTCTTATAGTTTAATTTATTTAAAAGTACAACAGTTGCCCTTGAATTGTAGTGGACTAGAAGTATAAAGTAGCCGAAAATCTAAATACTACAAGTAACCCAAAATTGTACTTAAGTAGGCCAATTAAGTATTTGAGTAAATGTACATGTACTTTCCACCACTGCTAAAATTGCTAATTGATCTGAATACTTGTTCTACCACTGCCTTTGTCGACTACAGGTTAGTGCAATACAAAGTTATGTATATTGACAATAGTCTACTTACTGGAGATAATGTATATTTTTGTCAACTGATAAAATGTGATCTAGGATTTTCACTGGTATTTTTACTGTCATGTTCATCTATTTATTACTTTTAAATAAACGAGATGTTGCAGTAAATTAGCATTTAAAACAACGTTTCTGTGTTGGTCTCGACGCTGGGGCTTTCTGAAGCACCGCCCAACAATGGTGTCTGCGGTGGTGAACCTATCGCACCCCGGCAGTTTTAAATGATTCGAGAACACACAGGGTTGAGGGGGCGGTGCTAAACAAACTGTTCTACTGAAGCGAGCCTGGTGGAGGAAAGAAGAAGAAGAAGAGCAAAGTACAGGATTTAGAGAAAGTAGCTTCATCACAGTAGAGTGGTTCGTGTGTCGATGTTTTTACAGGTCCCACTTGAAGAAGAAACATGAGACTTAGGTCTCAAAAAACCGTTGACGTTACAGCTTGTTTGGAGACGCCGCGGAGCAACCGCCGACGGTCCAACAAAGCGACACCGATAAAAGATGTTGTATCGGGGACAGAAAGCCCTCTTCTAACCCAGGTAACACACGACCCTTTACTAACATTAGTTTCTCAATCAGTGGACTTGTAACAGCCCCACATACGTTCGTGAAAACGATACACATCGTGTACTAAATTGCCGGATTTAGTAGTATAAGTAGCCTCGTTTCAGTGTTCTGATCTGATTATAATGCTACGGACGTTAGCCAATGGTGAAACTAAACGGTAACGTCGGACGGCGTCGCTAACGTTAGCTAGCAGCTGCTGTGTGTGATGTTACACGTGCTTAGGTACATATGCGCGTGCCCCAGAGGTAAACTCGCGACCACCGCTCATACATGCTGTCATCATACGGTGGTTACAGCTGATCCCGACAGAAGCAAAGCCATGACCCGTCGGTTCCCCTTCAAGGGAACACTGCTAGCACTGTTAGCTATCATGAGAGCCGTTTAGAGGCAATCGAAATGCTCCCAATCTTGGATCTTGCTCCTCGTTACAACGTAAATGTCAACGGAATGTAATAGACAAAGCAATACAGTCGTATCCAACACGTGGCTAAAAATCCTTCAATGGATGCTTTAAGCGTTCAACATTTAGACAACACCAGACCTTAGCGTCCCCCCCCTGTGACGTTTTTACATACGGTTCAGATGCAGCTGTGTGACGTGGTGTCTGACAGTGTATTGGTGCTGCAGTAGAGGATTAAACGGCCCAGTTGCATGTAAGAGGGTCCTGGTAAAAGTAGGTCAGTAGACTCATGCATGCAGACAAACAAACAGGACTCCAGCAATGTGTGCTTGCTGTTTTAGGTCATTTTGTTTATGGCTCGCATGCGGTCATTTCCTTTTGTTGTGACTGTTTCAGAAAAAGGCAAATGGAAAAACAGACACAATCATATAGTGCACAATCTGGGGCTTTTTGCTATGCATTGTTGATATGCCACTATAGTACCTTGTTGGCATTTTAACTCGGAAACAGATCTGCGTTGTTGTGCCGTTTGTCTTTTTGTGTCTGTTTTCCATTTCAATAATAGCACAGTCATGTAGTATTCATGTTGCTGTTTGTCTGTTTCAAATGCTCGGGAACGTCTGTGCAAATCAGTACACTTACCGAGGCAGTGAGTGACTGTAGTATTCCTGCTTCTTTAAAGATTATTATGGTATTTTAGGCGGATGTGTTCCACTTCAGTTACACAGACATTTGGACGCATTTCCGAAGCCAATCTTACAATGTGTACACTGTAAGATAAATTAATTTGGAGTTATTCTCATTATTCCCCCAACTGTAGCTAAACAATAGGACTTTGGGCATTGCTGTGCTTGATAAAAGACCTCTTAGAGCAGCAATTATGGTGGTGTTTGGTCTTTTAGTCCTAATATGTCTTGACAATCACACTTCTAGTTTAAAAAAAATAAATAAACTTTTTGTACGGTGTAGGATAAAGAGACCTTGGACGATGACTCCCACCACTCGGATGATGAAATCCCCACAATGACGAGGCGACCACTGCCCCGTGGCCGGGCAAGGAAGAGAGCCATCGCTGTTGAGGACAGAGAACCTGGTATGTTTTTAATATGGGCTTTCTTCCTGAATATGAATTCCTTAAACTCTCCACTGCTCTTCCTTTTTATATTTTCTGACTGATTGTCTTCTTGTGGTCTAGATTTGTCATTCAAGACTCCGATCAGGCCCATCGTGCGTCATGAGCGCATACTGTCGGAGATCGACCCGGTGTCTCCTCGCAATACAACAGCCAGAAACATCTACTCGCCCATCGTGCGTTTCCTCACACCCACCAAAGAGAGTGAGTACAGCTACTGTCACTGCAAGTCTCCGTTCTACAGAAGGCTTGCAGTGCCTTAATCAGACTGAGCTTACATGAATGCAAGACCTCAACATTGAGAACAGACCGGAACAAAGTACCGAAGAGCTTCCCATCATTAAGACAATGTGGAGTTTATTAAATATGGCAAACATTTGCTGGAAGTAATAAGTGTTCCTGTTACAGTTTGTACATTTTCTTGATTATTTTTTTTTGTGTCCAGATGGGAAGCGTGCTGGAAGCAGTGTGTTGATGAGCCCAGAACAAGGCATGTTTGGTTTTGGCTCCATTGACCTTCTGGCTGGAGAAGAGGATGATGAGATCTTCAATCCGTAAGTATAAAGCCTCTTTCAACCATATACCCCTTTATGGTAATTCAACAACTATGCACCCCACTAGATCATATCTTTATCTACTTTTTCATAAAGTTAACAGAGACTAGTACTTTAAATAAAAATGTAGCGGTGTTGTTATGCAAGTGTTGCTCCATAAATTAATGTTGTTAGCGATTCTTTCTATTTCTAAAAGCATTATTGTCTTTTCCAGCTTCACGTTCATCAAGAACATACAGTCGCAGTCTCAGCATTCCCAACCCCAACTCAGAGATATTCCCCCCAAGACCAGGAGCACCCCAGAGGCCACGCTGGTGGTCGACCTGGTGAGTATCCTGCTCTCACGCATGGGCACAGTCAGATACAGTCAGGGCCATACGTATTTGGACGGTGACACAATTTTTCTAATTTTGCCTCTTTACACGACTCCAATGGATTTGAAATGAAGCAGTCAATATGTGGTTGAAGTGGAGACTTTCGGCTTTAATTCACCGGGTATAACAAAAATATCACATTAACCGTTTAGGAATTAAAGCCATTTTAACAATCTCCCCATTTTCAGAGGTGCACAAGTGATTGAAAAATTGTCTAATGTTTTCATGGCCATGTATGGCTGCCAATGGAACTGGGTCACTGGTGTTTATTGATTATGTCACAGCTGATAGGAGTATCAGGATGAGTTCTGAGGTGTAAATGGACTGTACTTGTATAGCGCTTTTCTAGTCTTTCCGACCACTCAAAGCCCTTTCACACTACATGTCGTCATTCGCCCATTCACACACTGATGGCAGGGGCTACTATGCAACATTTATATACCGTAGGCACAGCACAGGAGAAATTTGGGGGTAAGTGTCTTGCACACAACGACATGCGACTAGCGGAGCCGGGGATCGAACCTCTGATTGAAGGACGACCCTGCTCTCCACTGAGCCACACAATAATCCGTTTTTAAAATAATTTAACACTGCCTCCCATTTAGTATTTGGTTTGGGTTTTAATGTGAAATAAACTGAAGTCACATTGATTTACGTCCTTCTAGGAGGAGACCCTGATGTTCGGCTCTCTGAATGTGATCGAGGAAGCGGAGTACACTTTCCACACAGCTTTCCAGGACCATCAGTACAAGGTGACCCCTCACTGCACGCTTCTGACTCTCACGCACACTGAGCTGATGATCCCAGGTGGAAGAAAAGAGTGGAAAGATGATTGACCGATTCTTTCGGTGTGTTAGTCCTCTTCAGTGAGGGACGGCAGGGGATATGAGGAAATCTAGTCTTAATCTGGAGAAATACCAGAACTAACAATAACACTCATCTCCACCATGTTGTCTCTTTATTTCATTCCGTTATCTGTGATTTAAAGATGGTTTAGCATGTTCACATTAACAGCCAACTGTTTATGGTTCAGTGCTGCAGTGAATTGCAAAAAAAATACTTGTTTTCTGAATCCAGATTAAGTGAACTAGTTGACCGTTTTAGATAATGGAATAGGAACTGCGTCTGTATGAACGTGTTACTTTATTCTGTTCTCCTCCCCCTCATCAACAGGTGTACATGATCCTACGGCCACACGTCAAAGAGTTCCTGCAGTCCATGGCAAAGACCTATGAGGTAGAGTTTGAGTTACTCTGATATCAAATGAAACTGTCTGGTCTTTTAATGATGCATTTGGTTCTGGACCAGTTCTGTCCACAGTGTTTGTTTTTTTACTGACTCAATAGTGACTCAGCTCATATTTAGTTTTATAGTTCACATTGGTGAATGAATGAAACGGATAGAAAAGATGAAACTCTTGAATCGAATGTGATATGAAAACATAATCGATTTTATTTTTAGGCCATATCACCATGCTCTTCCATCCCCTTTAATTAGTTTTCATCTGAACCAATATATTTAAATTTTTTTTTTTTTCTTTCTTTCTATATTAAAACAAAATGTAGTCTTTGTCTGGTTGTGTGGAATCTCTTCCAGCTGTTGTTTTGTGTTCTGTTCCAGCTGTTTGTTTACACATGTGCCAAGAAGGAATATGCTGAGAAGATACTGGACATCCTGGACCCTCAGAGAAAACTGTTTCGGTATGTCTCCATAAGATCCGCTTCCACTTGTGTTTCATAAACTCTTTGCTCGACCGCAGAGACGTGCACTCTTATCAGCTTCATCGGGCTCAGTGTTGGCCTGCTGCTGACCCGTCTGTGAGCAGCACACTGACCTCCTGACGCTGCTCAGAGATATTACGCGGTCTGTTGGTGGGTTAGTCGGTTACTCTGTGATGTTTGACAGTGTGAGGGGTTTAGCTCCAGAGTGACTTATAATGGTGAGGACAGTAGAGTTCAGCTTTCCTTCTGGCTTCACGTTGTTGTCAAATAAACGGGATGAGCAGACGATCGACAGTAAACGCGGGTGTGCTGCCTGTATCATAACATACTCCTCAAACTTCGCTCTCATTGAGAGCACCTATGTTCCATATCACAATTCATCAAATGACGGTGCTTGGTTCACAGAAACGTGTGTGAACATGTTGATGACTTGTCTTGCAGACATCGCCTGTATCAGGACGACTGCGCCTGTGTTCTCGGCCACTACATCAAAGATCTCGGCGTTCTCGGGAGGGATCTCGCCAAGACGGTTGTTCTGGACAACGCACCACACACGTACCCGTATCACGTAAGCACGGCGACTTTTGGGTGCTGGTTTGAAATGTAATGCTGTGTCATTATTGTATGGTGATATTCTACAGTTTTGTTATTATCAGCACATCCAATGAAAGGACCAAAGTCATCAACGTGTTCATCCATCTCTTTAAAAAATGGGATGCAAATATAATATCTTGGTTGACAATAATACAAATATAGACTTTCATCACTTGTCTTTGAATAACATCAAAGATATTTTCTTTTGTTCCTCCATGTTGGTAATCAGATGATGGTCAGATATTATCTTGCAATTGCGACTACACTGTGACACACTTACGTCGTCGTTTGTATTCATTGAAGTCTTTTGGTGTTTTTGCAGCTGATGAACACCATTCCCATCAAGAGCTGGTCCGGAGAGTCGGAGGACCGAGAACTCCAGAAGCTCATCCCCTACATGGAGAAGCTGTCTGCAGCGGTATGTCTGTCATTTTATCAGCTTCTATGATTACTACATATCGCAAGTATTAGATTGTAGATTGCTGCCTCTGTGTCTTTTTTTTTTTAATCCTATGAGTTCTGGGATTTAAGTAAGTATCTTATGAAACAGATCGGGTATTGGCCGTAATGTGACTGACCCGTGTTAAATACAGGGGTTAACTGTACTACTTGCTCACTCGGCCACAGCGAGCCACCGACTCAGTTCTTAGTGCTACAGCAACCGCTGGCCACATGTTACCTGACATAAAACCAGGTTTACTGATCATTAGAGCCATCCATTAATCAACTAATAGTTGCAGCTCCAACATGTGGACCAAGCTATTCCTTTAGAAAATAATCAGTAGATTAATGGATACTGAAGGTAATTGTTAGTTGCAGCCCTACAGATTTAAGATTTGGGAGAAAGACGGCACTGGTATCAGATCAGTAATCGTATTAGAAAACATCCTAAGTTGGAATATCTGAATCAACAAGAAAAACTTTGACTCTTAAAATATACTTGAGTATCAAAAGTATTTGCAGGGTTAAATAACTGAGCCATTAATACGTGTGTTTCAGTGTAACGTTGTACTTGTTTCAGGACTATAGTTTGAAGTGTTTGTACATCATCGGTGCAGCCTGTACATGTTTCAGTCAGCTGTGAATAAAGCGGCTGATTATCTGCTGCAGCATCTGCGGTCTTTCCTCCCCGGTTTCATCATTCACTTCCAATATCTCCTGTTTTTTTTCAGGAGGATTTTCGGGAGGTGCTGAAGAAGAGGAAGGACCACTTCCACAGGCTGCTGTCAGAGGACTAACAGGACCCCCCCCCCCCCCCCATCCCCCGCCCCCCTCCCTCACTTTAACTACTTTGTGACTTTCACGGCTCGCGTTTTCTTTCTTAATGCTTTGGCCAAAAGCAGAATCCAGTGAGAACTAGCTAACCTTTGTGGTGGACCTGCTCTCCCTCCTTTCTCCTCCCCGATGACTTCAAAAGACGGCACGTCGGTATTTCAAACATGCTGCTGGTCGTTTGTCACCGAAACCCTGTTTCTCCAAGACTCATTCCACAGGGCAATAAACTGTTTATATTTACAAGAAAAAACTTGAAATCTGTTTATAGTCGAGCTCTTTTAATTTATTGATTTATATTGCTAATCCACGGCTGTTATTTCTGTATATTTTAGATATGCTTTTTTTTGTTTTTTTGTATGCAAGTCATGGATAATAAATCGGAAAATAAAGCACTTCTCTCAGTCATATTGTCTTTCTGTCGCATGTAATCTGTTTCAGTTTAGTGAAACAGTATTTGATTTAATACTAGATCTACGTTTCTTAACGTGAGGTGAGAAGTGTGTCATGAAAGCTGCTTCACAGTGATGTAGAGGAGGAGGAATATGATAGCGTGCACAGCTATGGCTATTGTCAGTGTTGCAGCACAATGAAATCATGTTTGTTTTATGCTGTTACTGTTTAAAATGATATAATACGTTTTCCACAAGACTGCCTGATCCTGGTCAACGTCCTGTCTGCTGGTGTGTTTCATCAAAGTCGGGTGTTATTGTTTATCTTTTGGGATGTCTTCACTGGGTGTTCAGTGGTGTTTCTGTGGTGCAGTTATTTTATTTTTCTAAAATAATGCTGTTCCTGCTGCTGAGCAAATGCAACTCTTCACTTCCTGTGCAGCAGGAAAGGGTCACCAGTGTGTCGTGGTTCAAAAGAGCAAATGGAAAAGATGTGTAGAATCGGTGGGATCCCTTTTAGAGATTACAGTTCAATGTATTAATAAAGAAATATTGCGATCATATTAAACTCATCTGCATGCCTCAGATTTTTGATCTAAAACTGGCATCTCTGATAGCTACTCTAAAAACTGCTTAATAAGACAAAAAGGTTTAATTTGTTGAGAGAAAATTAAATCAGCAACTTAAGTTTTATTAGTATATTACACAAATACCCAAACAAAGCTATATTATATGATGGCAGTATTATATGTATATGTTATATGAATTTAGTGATCCCAAAATAAATAAACTGATTATTTCTTCAGTTAATGAATTGTTTTGAAATAAAATCTTACTAAATGATGTGGCCTTATGTGACCTGTTCAAATAGTATTTTATTTGATCCAATACACTAATATACTTTATCTACAGCAAATGTTTGTATTTATGCTTTCAGACTTTAAATTACTGACATAAACTATTTAGCCATTATAAAATGAGTTGCTGATTAATAAGATATCAATCGACTAATCATTTCAATAGGCCTATACATGTATTATGTAACCAGCCATTAATAAATAATACAAATGTGTATATGTAAATAAGTAAACAAAGGGGCCGCATGTTCACGTATTTCACAGTAGATATAATCTTCCTGTGAACATCTTGTAGTTCATTAATGAGATAATAGTAATGGATCCAGGACTTAAACAGTGCAGTAAAGTCATTACGCAGTAGTACACACTATCACCTGTGTGCGTATTACGGGAGTACTGAGGTTTAGTTTGAGTGTAAATGTTTACTGTCCTGTTTAGTTAAACTCGTGTTTGTGACGAATGTGATTGTTAATGTTGAATGTGGAGGTAAACTGAGACAAAGTGCCTCCTCCTCTTCCTCCTCTGGCTTTATTTGCTCCATATGGTGTTGGACATGGTACCCAGGAAAGAAAGAAAAAAACTCTTTTGTGGGCGGAGGAAAATCCTAGTATTTTGTCCGTCCTGAAATTTGATTCAGAAGTTCAGGATCCTGGAAGACAAAAAGCAAACGGAGGGGGAGGGAAGAAAGGCAGAGAAGGACGGAGAGGTTGTTTTTATACTGCAAGAAGAGTAAACTCACCAAATACTCTGTAACCTCCGACTAAAGTAAGTACATGTACGCGCAGCATGTTTCTACTTGAATAAAGCATTCCACCAGCATTTCATTGGGCTAAATTAATTCACATCTGTGTCTGAAATCTGATTGTTAACTGTTGTAATTGCTGCTGAATGGCCTCAGAATATAAGGTTTCAGCGCTGCTATTTGAGAAAGACTTGTGTGTCCTTTACGCGCACATTCATGCGGGCGCGTTGGATTTATTTATCATCAAATTGGGTAATTCCTGCAGCCGCTGTACTAAACCACTTCACTTGATTTGTAGAAGAGTACTTGTTAAAAGAAATGATTGCTCAGCATGGGGAGAAAGGTTATTTTTCAGCGGGGAGTAGGAGCACATTGCCCCCTATACGCGTGTTTCCACAGCCACGATAAACTCCACTTATATTTATTTTCCTCCGACCCAAAAGCCCGACGAGTCCTAATTTGCGCTCTATACATGGTAAAGTCCCCATTTGTTTGGAGAAACATCCCCGCCGCAGATTTGCGTGCCGATTCTGCGGCACGGTTGGAAGTGCGCCAAAAAATATCCAGAAGAAAATGCTCCAAACTCAGTCTGCAGATGTTAATGAAAACCTCAGAAATTCACCATGCAGTTCAAATAACGGCAGATAGGTGTTACTTATCAGACGCTTCTGTAGTAATCAAACTCCTAGAAGTATATTTAGCGTTTTTATATTGGAGCCTAAAAGTAACCATAGTGGTAAAATAAGTATTTGGACCATCTACTTCAGTAAAAGCATACTATAAAATACTCCATAGCAAGTAAAAGTCCTGCATTTAAATTTAAATTTGTATTGGCAACAAAATGTACTTGAGGTGTAAAGAGTTAAAGTACTCATGCAGGATGTCAACTGTCAGTGTTGAATTGTTAAATTATTTTACTTTTATGTTGTAGTTAGTCGAGATGAAGCTAGTATTAAAACTGCTTCATGTACTGTTGATAACAATGCATCACATTTAATAAACTGATCACATGTTTATTATCTGAAAAGTTACTTCAGATTACAACAAAAACTGACGTAAATGTACTTAGATACTTCCCACTGCTGGTAATAAATATAGGTCTTATTATCTTCATTAAATAAAATGTATTGTATATTTCCCAATGGGAAATCCCAATAATATTTTAGAATTAACTTATTTTGCCCTGTTGTGTGACATAATCCTCTTTATGTTATTTCTAATCAGCTGTCTGCTGTTACAGTGCAGGAGCCCTTAAGGGGCCCATGATGAATCTGAGGGAACGATCAAGTAAACATATTTATATTACAGAAACTAATTTATTTCATCCCATTCATCTATGTTTTCTATTGTCTTGTGAAATACTGCATACTTTCACTTCCTTGGGCCTATAAACATTCTTTAAATTAAAAATTAAATATCGGATACAGTCACCTCTCCATGCCCCTAGACATGTAAACATAAGTGAAATACTGGATACTTTAAAGTTAAACTTTTTAGTCCTTAAAACTCCTTAAAATCCTGGAAGACAAAGATCACTGTTTACACACTGAGGTCATAACCTGAGATACGGGGTCACAAGCTGTAAAGGTTGGGAACCACTGTGCTAAAATACCGCTCCATCACATAGCTGCATGTAGGGGATTAGATATTAGAAACACTAAGGTCATGAATTTCTGGGTTTAAATTCTGGTGGAGAGATATTACTTTAAATATAACTGAAATGTGTCTGCAGCATCAAGTATGAAAACGTGACAAGTATCGAAAGTTTGTGGCTTTAAAGAAGGTAACATTTCTACCTTTGGCCCATAATGAAAATAAGAAAAGCTTTTGATTCAACATTGAGTCATTTCGCAGTTTGATACGTTTAATTAAAGAAAAAGTTCAACAATTTGGGTATGCTTATTCGCTTTCTTGCAAAAAGTAAGATGAGAAAATATATATATGATGGTATCAATCATTTAACTCACGGAATGAAAGCAAATAAGTGTAATTTTACAAAATATAAAGCAAAGTATTGATATATTACCCAAACTTAAGTATTTTACAGACTCGTATTGATGTCTAACCTTAGTTCTACCAAATACTTCAGTCAAATATATTGAGTCTGAACTCACTGGAACGAGCCTGCACCGTCCACCATTCATACGCTTTTAATTGTCGAATGTGTTTGAAGTGTTTTGTCAACACTGTTGTTGAAATCTCCAGATTCTAAGAAAAAATAAAGACATGACCTCAGTGTCCCGGCTGTGTGATCGAATGTTTCAGTTTTGTGTGCAGCATCTTTTGGATACAGGAGTAGAAATATGTATTTTTGACAGTGTGTGCCAGTCTGTACATATTTGGAGCTGTTAATTAGTCTTGTTTCATTATATTCTTAAATGTATATTTTTAAATGAAAGGGTTTCCTGAAAACTACAATCTTAAATGATAACAATTCAAACCTGCAGGCAGTGTTACCTTGCAGAGGAAGATAAACTCTGACTTCCTGTCAGTGCTGATGATTGTACAACCACGGACACATCGACACTGATTTCCTTTATTCCCCCCAAAAAAGCCCCTTTCCTCACATGGCCAGTTTGACATCACGCCACATAAAGTCCCAGTAAAGTTTTGGTTTAAGATTTATGCATGTCTTTTGGAGGGTAAATGCTGCCTTTGTTAAAAGTGGTAAACTGAATATTTTTAAAACAACTAATAAAGGGGACTAAAAACAACTCTGAACTCGTCTTAACTGTTTTGGTTTTGACAGCTTTTTAATGCTTTTCAATATTCTGTCAGGGTTTATGATGATGTGTTGTCTTTGTGTGCCACCAGATGCTTGAAAAACAGTAAATAATAACTCCATTTAATAAAAAAATAAAGATGAAACGCTGTGTGATGCTTTTTAAAGGCTATTCTGGTTTGGATTCTCTGACACTTGGAGGAGAATGGAGGTGGTTTTACTGGACCCTGGTTTGCTGTTTTTAACTGTTTTTTGACCTATTCTTGCTCCTCTCAGGCTGCGACTATGAGCACCTCGGGGCTTCAGGCCACGAACCAGCAGAATGTGAAGGAGCTCGACAGCATGAAGGAGTCCATCAGCGACATCATCAACCAGCTCCAGGACATCGACCCGACCAGACTCTCCTTCTCCCCTTTCCTGGACCTGGACACTCAGATCTCCTTGGCGCCGGTATCAGACAGTCCCGAGTCCTCGGTGGAGGAGCTGCACTCGTCCTCCCACTCCGTCTGCGGCTCCCAGCGCTCCCTTGAACCGCCACCAGCAACTAGTCAGCCAAGGAGTGAGTTATTATTGTTTTTTACTGTCTGTCTGACGGAGCTGCAGGGTTTGAGGGGAAGCCGGAACAAATTAACAAAGGCTGAAGATGAGTTTGAGTCCAGACTGAATTCAAAAAAAGATGAGACCGAGTCAGGGCTGATTACAGCGGAGCAACAGTTAATAAGCATGTGCACAATAAAAGGAGGGTTTTTTTTTAAGGTTGAGCAGATATCCACATCCATGCCTTGCATACAAGTTTTGATATAATAATAAAAGTTATTTGTAGAGCTGAGGACATAAGAACGCACTGTGTGGTGGTAGAAAACATCTCTTTGACTTTCAATTTTGCATTGACAGGAGATAAAGTTCTTTGTTTTTTATATGTAAAAAGTGATGTTCCTGTCTGACAAACATTTCACCACTGCAACAGCAGCATATAATGTCCATGTGGACCGGCTATGTGCATGACACATTAAATACTGTAATGAACTAACTTGGTAGGAAAAATAGTTTTCTGGACTTAAGTCGAAAACAGATATGAGACTAAGTTGAAGGCATGTTTAGAGTCTAGAGTGCTGCAGAAGGGAGACCTCTATAATCTGAAGTGGGTGAATGTTTGCAATCCTTCAACTTTTGGATGTTGATACGATTGCCTGAATGACACCTTTGTAAAAGTTGGGAGAACATTTGTAGATGTCTACAATTCCTCTTTCTGCACATTACCACCAGATTTTTGATGGACAGTGAACAATTGTTTCTATATAGTATATGATAATATAATATTTATTCATAAGGTACCCAATTATCAACCGGCCACGGCCCCAGATCCCCAGAGACCCCAAAGGCTCCGAGTTCTCTGTCAATTGTTTGTCTTGTGTATTTGAATAATTGCTAATTTCGTTACGGACTTTGCAACACTGAAATCCAATTTTCAACTAATGTGCATCGTGACCTCATTGTGTGGTCCTGTATTAGAGGGTCTGGTTTCAGGACTGTAGTTATGTCCGTTCATATTGTTTTCATGTGGTGCATATTCCTGAATTACTTCAACCAAATATCACAAACCAATGACAAAAAGAAAACTTGTGATCATGTTGCAATATTCTGGCGTAGGAGTCCTGGTTGGTTTCAGTGACAGGGAACCACACGGTTCATGGTCGGGTGAGATCAGTAGGGGGCCCAACAGCATTTTACCTCCTACGGTCATCCTAATAGGTTAATACAGCCATGTGCCCACCTCTCCAAAATGTTACATGAGAGACTTTGACATGCAGGAAGTGAATGATTGATTAGTGTGAGTCTGCAGTTGATGGCTCAGTGTCTGGTTTTGGATCGGGTATTAAAATGTGCTCTGGTTTGAACAGGCTCTGCTCCCTGCCACCATCAGCCTAACGACGACCTCCCAGAGGAGCCACGTGGAGATCAGACAGAGGGCGGGGAGCTGGATACAACTCTTTCCAGTCCGATCATCACAGCGCACAATTTGGACGACGCCATGGAAAACTGCATCAGCCTTCCAACCCCCGCCTCTCAGGGAGACCTTCCCAACGGCACAGACACACCGAGATGGAGTCCAGAATCCACCAATCTGGACTGCACCGTGGACGAGGGTCGGCCTCTGATAGGTCCTCCGCCGGAGAGCGTGGAGCTGACTGTGTGGAGCTCAGAGGGCCCGGGAGAGACTTGCGAGGCCGCAGACGACGCTTCAGATCGGGGACAGTGTTGGTGCCGCTGCTGCCAGTGTAAATGCTGTCAGAGCGGCCGAGTTCCTGCTTTCTTCTCAGTCCTGGCCTCTCTCTTGTGTGCAGCCGGGATCCTCTATGCACTCTATTTCTATGTCCCCATGAGACCCCCAGACTGCCCCGATATGGCCAGCCGCATCGTTTTCACTCTCTGCTGCTGCGTGGTGGCAGCCGTCCCCATCCTGCTTGGTATGCATCACAAACCTGCACACTGACATAAATAAAAACAGCCGCCTGAGCCCCACAAACGATGAGATAAAGATTAAGAGAGGATTTGGTTTGTCTGGCCGCCTCGTCGCGGAATGTTTCAATGTCTCCTGTCCCCTTTAATTTCATGTGCTTTGCAACCTCAGTGTGCAGCAGACGTCTCCCCGGGCCTCTAGAGAGAAGCATAATTTCCTTCTCCTGCACAAAGCTTTAAATGGAAACTACAATAAGGGGTTAGCCTCTCATCTCCCAGGCTGTGGCCTAATTGTTCAGAATATTTTAATCATTTTCCATCCATGGGCGACCAGAAATAAGATGGCAGGTGGCAGAAACACCCAAGACCAAAGCCTGTCCAGATCATTTACCTCTCACCCACTTGTCAAGCTGAGGACAGTGAGGAGTATTTGCATGCAGGCTCCTCTGTCGGCCGGCAGTTGCAGTATTCAAATGAAGATTATTATACAAAGTATTCAGTCAGACGAGATCAAGTGCAGCTAGGAGTTTTGTTTGTGGAAAGATGGCCACGATTCAAGATGCTTACTGACTTATTGCTCCTTTTTGATCCTTTCGCAGCGATGCTCATGGGAGCAGCGTGCCAGTTCTGCACAGCCTCCTTCGGTCTGTGGGAGTCGTTTCCAAGGAGGCGGGCGGTGCACCAGCTGTTCGTCACGGCGTCCTTGGAGCAGTTACTCCTCTACGTCCTCAACCTCGTGGTCATGGCCGCTTTACTGCCTCAAGACCAGCTGAAGTTGGTGCCTATACTGGTCTTCATGTTCATCTTTGGAAGGTGAGGCTCAAAAAAAGTCCTTTTAAAAGGGCTCCTTCAAGACTCTGAGACATAAAACACAGATCAATTCACAATAAAGAAAAGTGACGTGAAGAAACAGCTGGCCACAGAGTAACAGCAAATATTGCCCATTTAATATGAAGAACAAAATCAAATAATTTAACATGGTTGTATTGGTACTTTTTAAGGTTTTCTGAATACCTCTTTCCCCTCTTTAACTGGAGTTTAACTAGTAATCTTGCTCTATAAAACACCGCCAGGGAGGAGTTTGTATCAGTGAAGTTTGAACTTGATCTGATTTCCTGTTTTATGTTCAATCCTCTACAGGCTTGTTTACTGGATCAGCCTGAACGCGTGCAGCTCCTGGCGGGGCTTCGGCTCCGGCCTGACCGTCTTCCCGCTCCTCGCCATGGTGGCTCTCAATCTGTTCCTCATGTACACCCTGAATCTCAAAGAGCCAATTTTTGTCTCTCAGGATGTCCTCTATAATCAGGTCACCCCCTCTTCCTGGTCAGGGGAGACATCACAGAGCCCGAGTGGCAAACCAGACATCCTACCCACAGACATCCTGGTCGCTCAGTGAGGAGGCGAGCTGCGCTTTCTTCTTTCAGAGGAGGAGATCTTTTCCCAAAATAGGCCATTCCTGTGGTTTCCAGCTCAGCACAGCAACACACGCTGCCACTATAACCTCCAAGTCTGTGACAACTTGTATTTTTGCTCCTCCTATACAGGACTTTTTTTTGTGGATACATGCTTATTATCTGAAATGCAAGAGCTTTTTCCCTGCTAGTGGCGGAGCACGCCTTTGAACAATGCTGTAGTCTTAAAACATTTGTCTGTTAAGCTATTCCAGTGCCTATGTTTAATGTTTTGAACTCTGATGTACTTAAAAGCTCTGCTATATATACGGCTAATTTGGTTTGACCTAAAAAACCACAAGCAAAGCAACTGCAGTTGTCAGACTTTATTATTATTTTAACTTGTCCAAAAAGTTTGTACATGATGAAGACAGAATAAAAGCCCTTTTTAACAACATCTCTTCCAGCTAGTTTTCAGTTCCTTCGCTGACTTTGACCAGTTTGACTGAGCAGCTATTCTTGGAGAAACTGCAGTGTGTGTCTTTAGTGCTGAGACTGTCATTATGTGATGACATGTTCTCAACGTTCTCTGGCTGCTTTCTATCTCCACCCTGCTGGTGTCCGCACTGCTGCTGCTGCTGCTGCTGCTCACTGGGTTTGTGGCGTAAAATGAGGCCAAAACTAAAACAGGATGCTGAAGATGGCTGCTCTTACTTCTTTTAACTGTTTAATCACAGGAGGTTAAAGAGCTTTCCAAATTACTTTAATTGAAGATAATTTGTTTGACGTTTGTCAGCCTCAAATGCTACAGTGCCAGATAAAGGTCCACGATCGAAACGTTGTGTCTCTAATAAACTCAGACATGTGATTTTTATTTTCCTACGCAGCAGGTTTTACCAATTTGATACCCGTATAGAATATAAAAAATCTATTATTCTGCAGGTCAGACTAATTAATCAAGTTTAAAGTTTGAGCTTATCGCTTTGGGCAAAGCCATCGTATTTGACATTTTGTAGACCAGTGGTCTCAAACTACCTGTCTTGGGACCTGATCCAGCCCACAACACCAACTCACAAGCCCTCATCAAAGTTAATGATAAACCAATTGTTATTAATATGTTATTAAATATAATTTAAATTTTTTCTCTTTCTCTATTGGTATTTCTCTTTGCAAAATCTGAGCATTTATTTTTGCCAGTAAGGTCATTCGAGCTCTCGACTCCTGTTATAGACAAAGTAATTCATCAAACAATAATTGTCTGATTAATTGATACTCCATTAGCTGCAGTGTCAGGCTGCTCTGCCTGTGTTTTGCTATTTTACTTTGGCCTTGTGGGATTTAGGATATATTCTTTCAAATTCATAAAAAGTCAGCTGTACTTCACTTCACATTCATCAGCTCCACTGGAAGCTGCCCAGTAAAACCACAGCCTGCTGCAGTCAGCCACTGTGCGGCTGATGCCTTGCTCAAAGTGCTCCAAAACACAACCACAGTGGTAACAGGTAGAAGGTTCATGATTCATACTCAGGTAGATCTGTCTGACATGAAGGGTGTTTTGTGATCCTATGTTTAATTAAATAACTGTGTTTGTTATAAAAACACAGCATGCTGCTGCAAGTTGATTATGTGGTCCTAACCTCTAAAGTAAAAGTACAAAACCAGTTATTTTAAACACGTTTGTAAGAATACTTTATCACATATTACCCTGACAGGGAATAAAACATTGCCTTGTTATATACTGTACAAGTCCAGTTGTAGTTAAATCAACAGAGAAACGAATGCGAAAGTGATTTCTGTGTTTCGTCAATTATATGCTCAAATTATTATGCGTTGCATGTTTTGAAGAAGCGAATAAGGTCTCTAGAATAAATGAAATGAAAACAGGCTATTTTACTTTCTAAATTCATTAATCCTGATCCCCAGCTGTCAATAGTCCAGCTATTTTCTGCCACTGCACATCTGCACAAACACTGTTTGTTCAAAATGTTCATAATTTGTCATTGACAGTAGCACCTAGCTGTGTGCATTACTCAGTTTAGTTTTCTTTAGTTTAAATACCTTTTAATACAATCATCATAGAGAGGTTTATTTATTTGAAAAAAATGCACTTTAAAAAGTCTTGCCCCACTGGAGGGAGCTAAACAGCTATAACAAAGACTATAATTAACAGTATCCAGACTGTCTATTTACTTATATATGGCCAACATGAAACAGATATCAGTGGATGTCAGTGTTGTCCAACTCATCACTGAGGACAGAGAGGACAGTGAGGAAACATCTTCAATGTTGGTTCTTGGGAGTTTTAACAACATGAGGAAATGTTAGCCTTCCACAATTATATTACACTGAGTGTGTTTTGAGGCTGATTGTGACGTGTTATTATTCTGAATCAATATTCTTCAATTTGACTAGTTAGCTATGACCGCAACACATATTTCAAAAGGTAAATTGATCTAAAAGTGTTCAATACCAGCCAAAAATGGCCAATATAACAGAATAGATAAATAATACATAAGGAAAATATTAATCAGTATAAATAGAACATTTTAAACAATTATTTGTGGTATCTGGTCAGAATCTTGTGTCTTGGTTTACTTGTGTGAGCTCAGTGTTTGTCGAATGGGCCCTGCTTAAATACAGTTTTGGGAAATTGGGATTAAATAAGATGTTTCCCAACCCCGGTGTGTTCACTGCCTCAGTGGAGAGTTTTAATGCACATAAGTCTGATTCAGGACATTTTCTGACTGGATCAACGGAATGTATTGAGGATATGATCCGCTTTCAATGGCGTTCAATACAAACCCCTAAATTCTGAGCAGACTCGTGACATTTTGATCTTCTGTGGTTTAGATAAACAGGTTGTCAACATTACAACAGCGCCCTCTGCAGCTCGAGCTCATAACCGCACGACAAGCAGTCTGACGTAACCAGAATCCTAAAGATGGCGGCGTTAGTTGGTGAGTGATGTTGTGATTAAACGTGCACGCTTTTAACAAACATTACAGTGTTTTCAGACGTATGTTACTTGCAGTATTTGACAAGTTAAGCGCATACATGTGCACTAACCAGAGGTTTGACTGTGTGGGTGATCTGATTTGTAACTTTTAGTGAATCCGCACACTGACCTTGCTCTGTCTACGTTAGCATGGCGGCTAACCAGGTTAGCGCTTACGTGAACTGAACTCCAGCTGCAATTCCAGCAGCAGTCAAAAAGCAAACATTAGTGATCACACGTAACGACAGATGTCTTCTTGAAAGTAACCACAGTGTTTGTTTTCATCTACGTCGTTGGTGGACTACCGTACTAAGTCTGTCATTAGATAGTGCGTGTGCTCCGCTATGGACACGAAGCTAGCCTTGAAAACTGCTGTTTTTGGGGTTCACATCTGTATTTGCGAACATTATGTGCATGAATATGTACCTTAGGGTAACTTTTAACATGTAACATTCACTTGTAACTATTTAGATTATACTTAGGACAGCACAGTTAGCTCTGCGCGAGGCTACAATGTACAGATTTAACAGCAGTGTTTGGTTTGAGGTTACATTTTTAAAGGCGCTTATATAAATAAAGTTATTATTATTACATGTTGTTGTTTTTGCTGCTTCATAGCAAGGTAACGAGTTATGTCACAACGGAATGCACAGCTTAAGTACTTATAATATATCCCTGTTATTATAAAATGTCTTCAGTTTGTGAAATGCTTTTGTTTTGCAGCGCCTCGTCTGGCCTTGTTTGGCTGCTTTTCAACAAGGTAAGAACCTTCTAATCCTTTATCTCTTATCAAAACTTCATTTCATTCAGTTCTGTCCTGCTGGTCCTACCGCTACTTTCGTAATACACCTTTAGAGGGGTGGAGCATGTCATTCATACCCACATAAACACATTTATTACTCTGCTTTTGTACAGGTCCAACTCATAGAATTCAACCTCATTCGGCATTAAATGCAGAGTGGAATATCCACCAAAATATATTTACTTACCACACACATGTGTCATGTAACACTAATAAGTACATACAGTCTTTACTGTATCTAACTCCCTTCCAACCTACCCAGTTTTAGTTTTGTAATTTTGTAATTTTTGTTATTTTTTAAGGTAAGATTCTTTTTTTATTTCATTCACTGTTTAAACACATGCCATGATTAAGATATTTATACATCAACTTTACCCATTATCTCTTAGGTCATTCAATTAATGAGCATTACATGTTTTTTTTTCCACAGGCCTATCTCAGTGTTTGCTGTTCATCAGAGGAATCTGCACAACAGTGCAAAAAGCGGGAATACCACCACGAGGTGAGTTTACCAAATATACTCTGGTGTAAATATCAGAAAGCGGAACAGACACTCGGTAAACTCTCTGCACACGGTAAAGATCCCCTCCGCCCTTCTGTTGCAGCGTGGTTCCAGTCAGAGAGAGGAGCACGGCGGTGGCAGCAGCCAAACCAGCAGCTGTAGCCAGCAGCAAGGGGGAGTATGCCATCACTAAGCTGGACGACTTGATTAACTGGGCACGCAGGGTGAGTAGATGAGAGGCTGTCAGCTCCGTTACCACCCACATATGTGGGGAGTGAATTCATCAGAGTCTGCAGTGTTTTTCTGTCCCCAGACGTGTGATGTGACTCCACTGCAGTGTATGACTGTTTGGTGTTGGTCTGAAACGTCACATGGTCGCTGCTGTTGCCTTTTGTAAATGGATCTCTTTGAAGATGTGACTTTGGGGCAGAACCACGAGTACCTGGATTAATGCGACTGCTCTGTGAGTGTGTTGTTGACTGATTGCTGCTCTGCTCCCCTCTCAGAGCTCCTTGTGGCCCATGACCTTCGGCCTGGCATGCTGCGCGGTGGAGATGATGCACATGGCGGCGCCTCGTTATGACATGGACCGCTTCGGTGTGGTGTTCAGAGCAAGTCCCCGACAAGCTGATGTCATGATTGTGGCGGGGACGCTGACCAATAAGATGGCTCCGGCTCTTAGAAAGGTGAGGGGGGGGAAGGGTGGTCTAACAGCAGCAGCATCTCTTGCATATAAGTGTAATTCAACTTATCACGCTCCAAACACCCCAATCTCTGTCTCAGGTTTGATTCAAAGCTGGGAAATGAAGGAAGAACAATGTATACACGCGTTTCTTTGCACTGCTCAAATACATTGTCAGTTTCTCTCTCTCAGCCTGTTCTGATGACAGGATGGCTGCCCTGAGAACAGTATAGCTCTTTTAATGCGGGCTGGATTATCACCAGCCTGTCGCTGGATTGGTAGACTGCCATGAATCTGTCCTCCAGCTGAAATGACGGATTAGTTCTTCGTCAGACATTATATAAGAGTCACTGAACTGCTTCTTCTTTCCAACAGGTGTACGACCAGATGCCTGAGCCAAGATACGTAATTTCAATGGGAAGGTAAGTTAACAGCAGTGCGCCCTCCTCTACCTCAGCTAATTTGTTTTTATGCACCAACACCTGCCAGTCATCTGTAGTCTACTCTGTATCCCTAAAGTCTCCACAGCAGATCTGATTTGAACATATACTCTTTGTTAAGTCCACTGTTCTTCTTTCTGCTTTATGGCCACAAGCATTCACATGACATGTGAGCAGTCGTAGTGTCTAACTCCTACTCTGTGGGTTTAGAGTTAGTCGAGACCTTTTCAATCAGCATCTGGATAACTGTGTCTTCATAATATTTAATGCTGTTTTTAATTCCTGTGTATTGTGTAGTTTGTTGTTTTGCTGATTGTGTTTTTGTAAATGTTTCTTATTTTTCGCTCTCTTGGAAAAGAGATCTTTATCTCAATGAGGCTGCCCGATTTAAATAAAATAAGTCTCTTCTCCTCCAGCTGTGCTAATGGAGGAGGCTACTACCACTACTCCTACTCTGTGGTCAGAGGTTGTGACCGAATCGTACCGGTGGACATTTATGTTCCAGGTAATCTTTACTGCCCAATATGGAAATGATGAATTCTACAAATTCCTTATAAACAGCAATGACAAATACTGACAAATGGTACTTGTTTTCTGTCAGTATATATGTAAATACAGCAGCATTCTTAATGTATATTGGACATAGTTGAGTCCTGTTATTGTGCAGCAGTGTCTTGCAGACTGATCAATGTGCGTCATCAGCAGCGAATGATATCAATGAATTACCAGTCAATCAGATAGGAGAACTCTGTACCATCATGTCTCTGTGAGTTTAAATATCCCTTAAACAATAAGAGTTGCTCTGTCCTCAGGTTGTCCCCCCACTGCGGAGGCTCTGCTCTACGGGACTTTACAGCTGCAGAAGAAAATCAAACGTGAGAAGAAGTTGAAGATCTGGTATCGAAAGTGAATGTGTTATGTGTGCGCTTGTATGTAAATGTTGTTTTTTTTGGGTTTCATTTGGAGTGCTGCTCCTCCTCCATGTAAAGCTGCAGGATCTTACCTGAATAAAACCATTATTGTAATTTACACACAGTGCACTGCGCCTTATTTTCAACCAAGCACAGCAGCGGCCGCTCGCTTCAGTCTGTCTGCACTGTAAGTTCAGTATTAATACCGAGTGTCTCTCTAGCCGTGTCACCCACCGTTTACATTGTCATTAAACGTAAAATGAGATAAAATATCGTTTTGAATAAACTGGGCTCACATGAAAATACATTATTTTAACATTTGGTGTGTCCATTCCTTCGACTGTGACCACTAAAGCCACATTGTATCCACTAGGTGGCTCCTGTGATCACTAACGGACCTTCACTGGTCTGCCTCGACACTTACGTGGTTAAATGAATATCGTGTGTTTGCTGATATTTACCTCGGAAGTCATTGTCTGCTGAAACACTATCCAAACCCACCAAGTGAAATACCAGAGCACCACGTCAAAGGTGGATTTCTGTTAGCAAAGCTGCGGTATTTAGTATTCTCAGCTAGAACTGGAAGCCATCTGCTATATTATGTATGCACAGAGAGAAAGCAGAGTTACTTTTAAGCATCTTCAGTGTGAATCAACAGACTCGCCGGTTCAGTCCTCAGTGCTGTTGAAGGGTTCTTGAGTGAGACACTTGATTCCTTCTCACCTATTTGTTTTAAGTTGCTCTTAATAACGGTGTGTTTGTGTGTGTGTGCTGGGATGGCTGTGCAGCACCAAAAAGATGAAATATGGTTGACTATATATATATAGAGCTGTTTTGAATATAGTTAACTTTAGTTAAAATATATCCCATGTACACTTTCAAAACGATGATGTTCATCCCTGTGTGACCAGTGGTTACGCCGCCATCAGTTCCTCCAATAACGGTTGTTTGTAAAACGTCCTTGTCGACCTTTTGTCATTGACGATTATCATACTGATTAAAGAGTGATTGACTTGTGTTTATTTTTGGTTGCACTTTCTGAATGACTTCAGACAAATCTTTGGCATTTCTTTATTACAATTATCTGTATTTGCATAACATATTTGCTGATACCGATATATCTGATATGTTGTAAAGATAATGGTTCTCTAAAAATACATCACGTCAAGGAGCAAAAAACACAAACTACAACACAGTTTAGTCAAATAGCTGCAGTAAAGACGGTAACACCTTGGCTTCATTATCACACCAGCACATATCAAAAATATTGGTACTAGTGTATCACAAGAGGCCCACATCTATCACAATAGATAGATAAATAGACAAAACATACTTTTATAGATGTTATCTAATTGTTTTGTCTATAAAAGCAAAATTATGAAAATGTTATCGTTTCCCATGACCCTAGAAGGCATCTTCACATTCCTTGTTTTATCTGACCAACTGTATAAAAACATATTCAGTTCACTGCCAAATATGAGGAACAAGAAAAAGCTAATCTTCACATTTGAGAAGTTGAAACCAGAGAATATTTTGACATTTTTCTTGAAAAATGTTTTGGTTTCAGCTTACCCTCTTAGCTGTAAGATCAGTTTCTGCCTGCTCATATTTCTCTCTGAGACTGTTGACTTAACTTCTTAAAATATAACACTCATGTGCTCATGATTCACATCTGAGATCCGCCAGCTGCTGTAGTTTCCCACCTGACTGCAGCCTGGTGTTGCATCATCCATCCATCTTATGATTCATGTGTCCTCACCAGGTGGTAGCTTATTCCCAGTGTTCAGATAACATGCACTGTTATCTACAGCCATACATTAAACAGTGTGTTGCACTCTGTGCCCATCTTAGTGGACTCTTTAACAGCTGACGTAGTGTTTTAATTAAGGCTTTTCATTCTGCAACTCTTTTTAGAGGTGCATGACAACAGTTTGTTGTGCGTATTGTCAGTAGTCTTATTCTCACTTTACAGGTGTGTTGTAAATCAAGTAAAAGAAGAGATTTTTAAAGTAAAAACTGCACACTACGTTTGAAAAAGCTCATTCCTGACCAGTGGTGGTATGTAAGTAAAAGTACTGTACTGTACTTAAAATGTATACATACTTGTATCTTAGTCGAGTGTTTCCATTTCATGCTACTTTATACTTCCACTCCACAACATCTCGGTGGGAAATATTGTACTTTTTACTCCACTACATTTATATGTAACTATTTATTTGTTACTTTTTACAAAAAAATCAACACATTATGATATTATATATTATGATATGATGCAGTAGTAATACTGTACTACTAATCTACCCCAATGGTATAAAAAGTATCTAAAATTGGCTCCATCGTGACAAACCACAACATTAAAATGCTCTTACATGTATTGGCTAGTGATAAAAAGAGAATAATATTTGATAATATAACAGAGTTATTCTGTACATTGAGTACTTTTACTTTCAGAACATTTTGCGGATAATACTTTTGTACTTTCAACTAAGTTACATATTTCAAGAATTTCACGTGTAATGGAATGCTTTTAGACTATGTTAGGCTTTAACACAGTTAAAGGATCTGCGTGATTCTTCCACCACTGCTCTTGACTTAATGTCTGCTGATCAAATATACGTTGATTCAGCATTTCATAGACAAATTCCCACAGGAATAACACGAGTCTGCCGTGTTTAACATTGAGAGTAGAAAAGACTTTCGGAAGTTCATGACAACTATGCATTTAAGCATCAGTGATATATTTTCTGTTTGGTCTACAATTGGGAGATCCATGGCAAGTAGGATACTGGGTGATCTAAGACCTGAAAGAAATGAGCCTCATTCGGGTGTAAATGCATTTTTAGTGGTTTCAGTTTGCCGTTGTCTCACATATTTGCTGCTGTGAAGAATAAAATGTATCAACGCAGTGATAAAGCACAGTCCGCAGCTATACAACGGTACGAAACAAACACAACTACAACTCAAATGAAGAAGGTAAAATTTGAAATTGATACAACATGGGAAAAGAAACAAATGCAATAAATGCATAATAAATACGAGCACCTGTAATCTGAGTTGGGATGGACTTGTGTTTATTGAAAATATGGCAGACAGTGAAATAAACAGAGTCTTGTGAGAAGGCACGTCATTGTAAAAAAAAAAAAAAAAAAAAGGTTGTAGCACCATTTTCAGACTTTAGTCCTTGACGATGGTTGGAGTGATCATCTTATTGAAGGAATAGTATTTGCATTCGGTGGGTGGTGCAATGTCCATGGTGGTGGTGCTAATCTTCTCCTTCTTGAAGCCGGCTTGGAGCAGATGAGGCACCTGGGTCTCCTGAAAATCATTAACAGACAGAGTTGGTGATTGTGAGGCTCGCTGGCTTTATCGGGCGCGTTAGTCTTATCCTGTTTATTGTCGACCTTGCGATTATCGCAGCCTGTGTAACACAGGTTGCACTCAGCTCAGCCCTGATGGAGACGGGCGCTCAGCGCTGTGCACCATGGATAAATATCAAACGCTAAAGTCTAAACAGTCCTATTAAAATACACGTCCCAGAAATACACGTCTCTGTTGAGACAGGCAGGTTGATGATTCACAGGCACAGATACTGATAGGCCTACTGTATGTATTATGACTGTTAGTATTCAGTAACTTGAACCCGTCTTATGCTAAAATACATTGCAAGATACTTTATTTACTAACGTGCGTGACTAAAGCGCTCCACTGAAATCAAACTTGACATTTTGTGGGTAAGGTGATCAGTGTTTAGAAACACCCTAAATGTACTGCCTTTTTTCAATTAAAACATGTACTACACATCCTGATCATAGTCTTGTCAAAGAAAAATGTTTGAAAGGACTTTGATGACAATAACTGTGTCCCAATTCTACACTACATACTATTTTAAAGCAGGTTTTATGTATGTCATGCATTCATCGTGGAAAAAGTCAGTTTGCGTGGACACTATTTTCCCACAATGCACTGCACAAAGGAAATGTAGGATCTACTCACATCTCCGTAACATTACAATAAATTGCAAATGTTGGAGAAACAGCTTCAAAAAGTTCTAAGAACACAAAAAAAGTATTAAATCTTTGGAAAAGACATTTAAATGGCAGTGACCTTCTAAAGTCGCAGTTTAGTTGACTTCCTACAGTGCAGCTATTGTATCATTTCTTGTTAATATAATAATGGTAAAATATGTTGACTTCTTTTAAGCCAAATGGAACACTATAATGACTAGTATAAAGTACATACTGTATACAATAGTATGTAGTTTGGGATTGGGACACAAAATGTTTTGGTAGCATCATTCAGACTTTTTGTCTCCCCCTCTAACGCCCGCCATGTAGTGACTTTACTTCCACAAAACTTCTATTGCACAGAAAAAGTATGGATGGAAACTAAGAAAACGCACGACGCAGTAACGCAGAAGTTATACAGTTGCAGATGAGTTGACTTTCTTTTCCTTGAGGGCGTAATGAAGGTGACCAACCTCAAACATCTTCTCGATGTTGTCGTATTTGGTCTTGAGCAGCTCGCCCCAGGAGGTCAGGTTGCAGTAGGTGAGGACGCCGCCGGACTTCAGCAGCCTGTGAGCGTGACCCTGCAGAGACAGGACCAAATCAATCAGTCCTTCAGCCCTGTAAGGATACGACCTGAAGAAGACTACAGTATGTGCATCACACAATAGCTCAACACTGAAGTCATTCATACTTGTTATTGATACGTGTTTTCTACTATTACGCAGTATCTTCAGTCCACTTTTCATATAAACAATTCCAAGATTATCCTCCTACAGAATTTGTATCTTTTCAGGACTCTGTGTTACTTACTGGAGTGTTTTATGAGGATTTTAACTACTTACCTTAATGAAGTCAAACTGGTGGGTGTGCCATGTGTCCTCTGACAGAGGGTATGTGTCATAGAGGATACCTGAGAGAGGAAGGACACAGTGTTAGCAGAGTGCATACAACAACTAACTCATTCAGTTTTCTATGTGTGTGTGTGTGTGTTGTTTATCGCTTCTTAATATTTTGAATCGGTCAAGTGAAATGGGACAATGTCTCAGAGTGTGTTCGTCTGTTCATCAAACATGAGATCTCAGACAACAGTGGCTAAAGTGTTGAGGACCTT